CGCCGGGTGTGAGTGAAACCAGAAGAAATTTCATACGACTTTATACTCGTGTGTATGGCCATTATCACTGACATTTACCACAGATGACTGTGTGAAGAGAGAGAGACACACACAAATATCAGAAAAGAGCCCAAAAACAACCTACTTTATAAAGAGCAAAACAAAAACAGCGTTATAATTATTGCCACATCTTGCTGAAGAGTCCCAAACTAGGATGATGAAACAACTGGCTGTCCAGTACTCCCCCGAAGGTTTTCCAATGGTTCTCTAACTGATGTCAGCCAGCTAGCTTATGATGAAATCTTTCAACCAATCAAACAAATTCCCCACAAAACTAATACTTGAAAACATCGTGAAATGACATTCTTAGTTAGAGAGAAATCCATTAAACCCTTGAAGGCCAACACTTGAAAGTTCACCTCCTACTCATTACTAACGTAATATAGAGTCCTAGTGAAAAGTTGTGATCAATAAAGAGTCAATCAAATCCGGTGTGAGAAGAGATGCTCACCGATGACAATTCCTAGTGGTGGGTTGAGTTTTATATATATTCATGGATAATCCCTATCCAGGCATTAATGAAAACAAAACACGTAGTTCAGCGAAGAGTCTCTTTTCAGTGAATTCATTTTTTTAGCTATACAATCGCAAATATGTATGTATATATATATATATTTTTCTATGTATGTGTACATTAAGTTTGTCAAACAAAAATACAATTGGTTATGGTTAATTTTAATTAAACAAGTGAAGATTGGTAATTGGAGTTACGTAATACAAAATCAGTCAAGAAAATTAGGTGTTAATGAAATTAGCGCAGTAACAAAGGTGATGAGTTGTCATAAACCTGGTTAACACTTATCATTCCATCTCAACAAACGCCTCCTGCTTCAAAGTAATATACAGATTCACGAATAACCTACCAAAGGCAATACGGTTTCGTCTTCTTTGTATCGCTGAAGCTTTGGCCATTCACATAGAAAAAAAACCGTAGCTGTGCATACAAAAGAGAATTACTCAACCACTTCTACTGTCATGGCGACAAGTTTGTTGATTTTTGATGACTTAATTTTGTTTGTTTGCCTGTTTCTTTGATTGCTTATAATTCTTATATTCATTTAGAACTCCTAGTTACAATAACCATAATCAATTGTATTTTTTTTGGCAAAATTAATGTACACATACATATAAAATAACCCATAATATGTATTAGCGATTGTACAGCTAAGAAAATGAATTCGCCGGTAAAAAGAGACTCTTGACTGAACGATGTGTTTTCTTTTCCTTATATATATCGCCAATCTGTAGAAGTTGGATTTATAGTCTTGCCACTGAATTCCTCCCCAGTTGCCAAATGCTCAACAGGATCGCCTCATAACCTGAAGATCCTGGATTTGATCCTCTAAGGGTGGAGTCATGGGTGCGTACTTCTCAAGAATCCTGAACAAGGACGAAACAGTTAATCAGGTATACCTTGATTTCAAATGGCTCTCTCTCTCTCTCTAACTGATACCAGTTCATCATCTAAGCCCTGAGTTTGAGTCCCGCTGCCCATTTTTCTTGGGGTAACTGAAACTGAAGGAGCACTAGTGTTGCGTAACCACAGAAGACGGCCAAAGGAAAATTCCCTGATGCCAACCACACTTGGTTTACAACTACGAAGAGTGCTCCAAGCTAAGTCGAGATGTACAATTAATTTTCGTCAGAGTCGACCTTTTCTAAACCCACACGCCCTGCCCTCCAGAGCAGAAACGCAACACAGCTGGCTTGCTAGTTATTCTGAAGGGAAACGCCTTGCTGATGCTGCACCAACAGTACAACGGCCGTCAGACACCCGCACCGCCACCCTCCAACCCACCAACACAGTGTGACAGCTCGAAACTCTGACGGTAACTGCTCCTAGTCACCCCTGTTACTAAAACACCTTTCTGACTTGATAGAACCTGTAGGAAAATTAATTTCATTCAGCGTAACTGGTTGGGTCATTACGATATATATATATATACAAGTCGGACCACCACATTATCAAGGTAGCAAGCCATTAATGATCAAGGTGTTTGCGATTTTCGGCAAAGTCAAGACACAGATACATTCAATCCACCTACCACATTATAAGTTGTATTTTCTGTTGGTTGACCTGTGAAACATTTTATATGCCCAATCAAAACAGTTTCAAAATTTAGAATCAAATTGACTTCTGGCATTTATTGCTATCTGGATCAATCAATCAATCATGGACTTCATGGATAAATTGTGTTATGGGGTTATTTTTTTATATCGATTCTCATCTGTCTACGATAGAACAGTTACTCACACACACACACACACACTACAGTTTACATATCACATTCAGTGAAATGAAAGGTATATGTTGTCATGTATGAATGTAACAATAAATATTCTAATCAGATTGATAGACATGATTAGATTGTAATTTATTTATTTCATTTATTAATTTATATTATAAATACCTTACATACCAAAGAAATATTTAACTGACACCAATTGTATTAGCTGGTTGGAGGCAATCGACCACAGGAAGCCTTGGACACCACCACCTAGTAGGTTTTGTGCTACTTGGCACTCACCAGTCGGTCAGTCAGTCAGCCAGCAAAGCAGGCATATCTGCAACCACATTGAAGGAACCCATGTCCCTCCTCAGATTTGAGCCCGCATCACCCAGTGAGTATTGCAGTCAGTCAATGCTACAAACCTGAACTGATAGAATTTAGTCTACACCACCAAAGAAAGGGCTAGAGAGACATCACACTGGTTACTAGTGTCCAATCAATCTTTAGGTTACAAGGGAAGCTGGTAGACTGTTCAACCGCATTTCCGAGCTTAGTGTCGACTACTAAACTTGGTGAGATTTAGAAGTAGGCAAGCAAGGGTTCAAACCCGAAACTACTACATGGCTACCGACCATTCCTACAACTCAACCACGGATGCATAAATTCACCTTAAAACATCAGTGCATTTGTTGAGTGGTCAAAGAGTTGTTTACAACACAAGGAAAGTTTGTATCACGGAGATTAATGTGGTTGAGATGACATATCTTTGCAACTGACTTCTATCGCAATAAATACCCAGCAACAAAACATTTATGAGTACATTAGACAAAAAGGAGGAGGAGTACAAACTGAGCTATTTAACAAAAGTTACTTAAGAAACACAACTCATAATCAGGTATCAATATCATACACGTCAACAAAACGAAATGTTGCAGAACTGTTACATAAGTCAAACACTTGCGTGACCAATTCCTAATCAGTCAAACTGACTACTACCTATTAAAATTTTTTGTCTTCGATCCTATTTGATTAATATTATATGGGGTGCTTCACATCCGTTCTAGCTGCTCTCGCAGATTCCTAGCACTTCCATGCCGTATTTTCTCATTTCTTTGGCTACCTACCACCTGGGCAGTCTTCCCAGCCTCGTACACTGTACAAACATTCCACATCCCCACACTCTTATTTTTTGCTTTCATCGCGAGAAGATACATCGGCTGATTGGCTTTCCCAGGGCTTTCATCAACCTGCGTCATTTCGCCTCTCTGATTCCAGAGGCATTGAAGTTTTCGTAGCAGTTTGATTCATTTTTCGGCGTAGCCCCACACACCCAATTCTCCCTCTTTCCTCGTGCTTGGAACAGGCTACAAAACTAGTGAGCTAGTAAACCAGGCAAGGTTGAAGAAGATCAAATAGTCAGAAGGAATTAACAGCACGAAACTCTATGAATATACCAACCCTCTGTCTGTCTGTTTTCGACATAGAACTTTGCACAAATGTGCGGAAGTTCAAGTCGCCACACTCCGTGTAGCACGCGAAGCAAGAGAAGAAAGTACAAGAAAAGCATAGTAGAAACAGTGAGCAGAGGTGTGAGACAAAGGAGTAATAAAGAAAAACAAAACAGTTTCATTGGAGATCATAAGTCACAAGGAGTGGATGCATCTGCACCAGCCACTGAGAACGATTTTGAGCCATGTCACCAATTGTTTCCAACCATTTGCTTTTACCGTCCCGAGGACCCCAGCCTGGAAGTCTACACCTTTCTACGTGGCTTAGACCAACTGTTGTGGATTTCATTGACTGATGCCAAGTTTTTGTTTGACCGCCGCTAGCTTTTTTCCAGCCTGACCCTATATCCGCTAACATTGCTCGTCGAGGGAGGCGATGACTTGGCATACGTAACACATGTCCTAACCATCTCAGTCTTTGTAACTTCACGACTTCGTCGATTGATTTCCCCTGTTTACCTAGAACTCGACGCCTAACTTCAATGTTGCTCACCTTATTATGCCACTTTACACGGGAAATAGAGCGCAGGCACCTATGATCAAAGACAGCTAGTCTTTTCATATCTTCCACTCTCAGTGGCCAGGTCTCACAGCTGGCCATAAAGGAGGACGGAGCGGACTGATGAGCAGTACACCCGCCCTTTGGTCGATAGTCGAACATCTCGTCTACGCCAGAGTCGGTGTAAACTGGCAAATGCGAAACGAGCCCCCTGTATTTGTGCTGAGATTTCGTCAGAGATCAGACCAACCCAGAAACTTATCGCTCTACAAATAATGTAGGAGAAAATGGAAATGGGTCGAGCACACTTTGAGGATACCATCGAATGACATCACATGGCTAGAGTCCATCTCACTCGAGTGGAACCTGAATGGGAAACAGCGAGTGGGACGTCACTCCAAGAGTGACATAGAAGAGAGGTTTGCGATGACGAGATCAGAGACTATGGGCAATCGTCGGGCCAGCCAAAGAGGACAACAAAGAATAGGAGACGGTGGAGACGTGCTGTCGAAGCACCATGTTCCACTCAGAATCCATGGAAATAATGATAAATAACAATACATGGGAGTGATGTGAGATGAGTGATCAATCGAGACACATCCTAGAAATAATCACATTAAGTAAGCCGAAATTCAAAAAAAACCAAGACACCAAGATAACATTAATAGAAAGCAAAGAATGAATGAAAGAAAGATGACATACCGGCGAAATATGGACCTTTAATTGCATCGTTTAGCTTACTGCATGCTTCCCAATAATGTGCAACATCCCCATCAGATATTTGAGGACTACTCAACAGCATATAGGTTGGTCCAGTAATCTATAATAATTATAATTAACAAACATAAATTAATTACATGGAGGATTTAATCATGAGCTGACATCAGTTAAAGAACCACTGGAAAACCTGGGAGTACTGGACAGCTGTTTCGTCCTAGATTGGGACTCTTCAGCGGTACGCACTCATAGTAAAATTTAGAACAACGCACATTTAAGCGAACAATATTCCTGTTTCCAATTAGATCTCATCAGGCTTAACTCTAAAATATACCTGCATAACTTTACAAATAAAAATTCCAATATAAACCAATCCTCATGGTGTTTTGTCTATAGGATAATACGATGGTGAATATAAATTGTGCATTTTGTCATAATAGTAGTAATGATAACAGTAATAGTAATAATAATAATGGTTTTATCAATAATAAGGATGAAAAGGTGAGGCAGTCTGTAATAACACGAATAATGAAAAATCGCATGATTAAACAAACAAATGTTCAGGTGGACGTGGTAGTCGATAAAGGCTAGTAAAAACCAATGAACCGATTAAGTAATGTTAGATTGAAACACGTTCTAAATGAAGATGTGATAAGATTAAGGGATGATAAGAAAGGGTTTGAAAATATATAAGTCATTAGTTGGTTATGTCTTAATAGGCCAAGCAAGGGAGGGATGATAATGGCTGCCACGAACTTCTTTTGAATGAGCATACTTTAGGTTTAATAGTTCGAATGCCTATCGCCTGTCTCAGCTGTGTGCGTGCAGTAGACGAATATGCAGTCTGTTGGAAAGATTCGGTGGGATACGATGAATTACTTTGAAGGCTTCGTTTTCTCCACACTACATGATCCCACTATCAATTAAATGTGACAAAATTGAGCTATGGATTGTTTTTGTCTGTCCTTTACCAAACCACCACGATGGGAGATGTTCAGTAGTGACACGTTGGCTAAGCTATCTATCTAGTAGTAGTGTGCCCAACATAACTGTCACTGCAGGTGCAGTTGAACTGATATAAATGCACATAGATAGATGTGTGGTGAAACCTATTGACAATAATCATTATAAAATATTCCCAATGAATGCGTACGTACACCAACTCTCTTTGATAATGGATGAGAAGGAAACGGAAAAATTCTTCGCGAAAATAACTACGCAAATAAGTTCATTACCAAAAAAATAAGCACTGACATTAAATATGTTCAAAAATGTATTATTCCGAACAAATACACACCTCACAATAGTTGTCGTTGTATATCGATCAGAGATATCAGACGATATTTCAGAAGACTACTACTACTACTCAATAAGAACAATATCAGAGCTTTCTTCAAACTTCTTGAGACACACACTACAATACAACCTTGTCAGAGTACAAAAGACCAAATTTCAAAGGATTCACTGTGTAATTGTGTCTATACAAATAAAATGCTTGGAATGTGTGATGCGATATATACAATATACATCACACAAACCTCATGAAAAGTCAAGTTTAGAAGAAATGACCACCACATAGAACCAATGCGCATATTCAACCACCACCAAACGAGAAAAATCCAGTTAGTGAACTAGAAAAGCTTGAAAAGCCATCAGTCATACACACACACACACACAGTAAAATCAGGTCACAAAATTGATTTTGAAAATATTGAAATCATCATCCAGAAAAATCTTAGAAAACACAAAGAACATCTAATATCAGAAGCACTTCATGTTTTCAAATGGAATCTAAATTGTCTGGATAGTCTGAATGGTGGACTGAGACAGAACTTGACTTAGTTCCAACACCCAACCCCCTCTCCGTGAAATGAAAAAATCAATACGAATGTGATAAGCGATTTCAGTATGTGAACACGCGCTACTTTTATAATTTTAAACACACACACACATAACAAATCCAACAATCTTCACCAATTGGCCAATTTGACAATGTAAAAATGCCCCGACACTGAGGAACGATGATTAAGCTGTTATATATGTATAAGCTGAGTGGATTTTGTAAATTCTGGTTTAATAATACCACTTTGATTAAGCTATTAGCAGCAGCATTAAATAGCGAAACGACAGTAAAAAACACAATAATATCGTTTTGTTTTTCATTGTTTCATTGGGAAATACAAAAAGAACTTTTGTAATAATCAATATCATATACCCAATGCCCAAACGTTTTCAAACGATTAAAATTGAACTTGGTTTGGATATTTGCAATCAATAGTGTTCTCTGAGCTGGTTGGTTTAGTTGCGGCGGAGCTTTCATCGTCCCCCTGCTGGACAACATCCCCTTTCAGCGCAATATTTAGCATAAAGTGAACTGATTTAAGTTTCTTCATGAGTGATATAATTACGTCTCCCGGTAACAAACATCTTTACATATGTATTGACCACTTTCTATTGACTTGTATTTTAAACTTTCTGGTCACCTGATTTACTTTTTATTAGTTGGTATATTTCGTCGTCTATATTAACGTGTTTATTAATTGAATTTTCGTTTGAGTACCAGGCTTCTAGGAATTCCCTGACTGCACTTTTGATGTTTCCTCTGTTATGCAAACCGAAAGACCCAACAGAAAACGGAGATAAGATTAATACCATTTACAAAATAAATTGTGTGAACTGTTACAGGCATTACATCGGCCAGAGTGGGCGTGCCCTTCGAATAAGAATCCAAGAACACAAAGTAGCCGTGAAAAGACATGATATAAATTCTTTAGTATCAATGCATACAGACAATTATGGACATCAGTTTGATGATTGGGATAATGTCGAAATCTTAGACAGAGGAAACATCAAAAGCGGAGTCAGGGAATTCCTAGAAGCCTGGTACTCAAACGAAAATGCAATTAATAAACACGTTAATATAGACGACGAAATATACCAACTAATAAAAAGTAAATCAGGTGACCAGAAAGTTTAAAATACAAGTCAATAGAAAATGGTCAATACATATGTAAAGATGTTTGTTACCGGGAGACACAATTATATCACTCATGAAGAAACTTAAATCAGTTCACTTTATGCTAAATATTGCGCTGAAAGGGGATGTTGTCCAGCAGGGGGACGACGAAAGCTCCGCCGCAACTAAACCAACCAGCTCAGAGAACACTAATAATTGCAAATCATACACCTGAGCTACAAATCTTCTCTATATATAACTATTGACAATAAATTTAGACTACAATTTTACATATGTACCGGAATGAGTGGTTTTATTGAACACGCGGTGAATAGTTTAAATATAGTAAAAAACTACAGCGTATACAAGTTTAACAGAAATGACGAATTCACATATGTGTAGACACAATTAAAAGACTTCAGAAAGACTTTCTTCAATCCCCGTCTCCCTCCCATGGCCTCCACACCCCGACCTAGAATAGTTATCTATCACGGTGGTGGTGACACCAAATAACCGTAAATATTATCTTTATTTGTACTTCTAAACTTTATTATCAAAATCATACTTTACTAAAGTCGCATATTTTAATTTTAGTTTTAAAATTTATTTACAATGAAACCAAACACTGCTATCTAGTCACTATGCGACACAATAGTCTTTTCCCATGCTATCCACCCCCCCCCTCCAAGTATAAACACATTCCCGACGATTGACTACTTAGATTATAATAAACACTTGTATGAATCTAACCTTGGTTATTATTACTATTATGATCACCTCGATTACAACCATCCACTAATTCTCATACAACTGAACATTAATTCTATTCACTAACCACATTAGTTTCAAATGTCAAATGGATTAAAATTTTATTATGTAATTGTAAAGCCTGACAATGTATGACAACTCACACAAAAAACTTGGAGGATCTGACTTCGCCGACGATATATGTCTGATTCCTCACAAACTGGAAGATAGGCAAGCAACAAGTTGGCAGAGAAAGAAGCATCCACAGAAGATAGGAATTCAGGTGAACATAGAAAACAAACGTAGGTGATGAAGATTTCTGGCCAACAGAAACAGCAACAACAGACAACAATCACAATAAATGGGAGGAACCTGAAAGAAACAACCTCCTTTACCTACCTACCTACCTGGGAAGCATCGTTTCAACTACAGGCGGAACTGACGAGGACATTAAAGCAAGAATCCGAAAAGCAAGACAAGCTTTCATTACTCTCAAGTCTGTGTGGAGGTCAACAGCACTCAGCATCAAATATAAGATCCGGATTTTCAACTCCAATGTGAAGTCAGTGCTACTCACTATACGGATCAGAGACTTGGCCAGCGCGTCATAAAGAGCACATCAAACAAACTACAGACCTAGATCAACAGCTAGCTATCTTCTCTCAATACTACTCAAGATCAGATGGCTGGTCAGAAAAGATCAGCAACAGGGATCTCTGGCAATCAGCGAACCAACCTAGCAGGAACTGATTGTGAAACAAATAGACAGGAAGAAATGGAGATGGATTGGCTAGCCACACTCTGAGGAAACCATCAAGTGACATCACTAGACAAACCATTGCTCGAGTGGAACCCAAAAGGAAAGCGGCGAGTCGGTCGTTAGTGCAAGGGTGACTTGGAGGAGGTCATGTGAAGAGGAGATGAAAGCATGTGGTCAGACTTGGAGCGGGGTGAAAACGTTGGTAGAGAACCGAACGCAATGGAGACGCGCGGGTGAAGCCCTATGTTCCTCTAGGAATTGAAGGAAATAATAAAAATAATAATAAATACATAATAGTCGGATGATGAATGGGCGTCTGATAAACATCACAGATATAGTTTGTGTGTGTGTGGATGGTTGAAGCACAAAACCAAGAACGCTTAATGCCCTCACATTGAAAGACACCATACAATAAATAACAACTTTTTTTAATCAGAGCATCAAGCCTTGCGTTATACTTACTGTCTGCATAATTTCTTTCGCTTTTTCAAATAATTCTTCACCACAATGGGATAAGAGAACACCTGAACCATACACACTATCGATATGACGCATCAACACATCAGACTCAGAGAGTTGTTTCCCTTTCTCCAATAATAGTGGGACTTTACCAGCTGGATATAATTCCAAAAACCAATCAGGTTTCGAGGTTAGCGAAATATTCACTAAATCGTAGCTGATTGATGAAATAAAAAAAAATGATAATTACTAGAATTTTAAAGAATTCAAATAGTACACACATAAAGAGAGATATTATGAATACAATTGTAAATTATTACTATTATTTCCTTTAATTCCTAGAGGAACATAGGGCTTCAGCCGCCCAAGTCTCCATTGCGTTCGGTTCTCTGCCAACGTTTTCACCTGGCTCCAAGTCTGCCCACATGTTTTTATCTCCTCTTCATATAACCTCCTCCAAGTCACCCTTGCACTGACGACCAACTCGCCGCCTCCCTTTCGGGTTCCACTCGAGCAATGGCTTGTCTAGTGATGTCACTTGATGGTTTTCTCAGAGTATGGCACTGACTTCACATTGGAGTTGAAAATCCGGATCTTATGTTTGATGCTGAGTGCTGTTGACCTCCACAGACTTGAGAGTAATGAAAGCTTGTCTTGCTTTTCCGATCCTCTGCTTTGATATCCTCGTCAGTTCCGTCTGCCTGTAGTTGAAACGATGCTTCCCAGGTGGGTAGGTGAAGGAGGCTGTTTCTTTCAGGTTCCTCCCATTTATGTGATTGTTGTCTGTTGTTGTTGCTGTTGGCCAGGAATCTTCATCACCTACGTTGTTTTCTGTATGTTCACCTGAATTCCTATCTTCTCTTGATGCTTCTTCTGACAACTTGTTGCTTTTCACTTGCATATCTTCCAGTTTACAATTGTAAATAACAGTAATATATTGAGTTGAATTGAATTTTGTCTACTTAAGAATTACAGTCGTGAGGTGGACATTATTATGCGTGATTCCTTAAAGTTATCGTCCATAGACCATAGTAGTTCAATTCTTCGCAGATTTGTCAGAGCAACACTGAATATATATATATATATATATATATATATATATATATGGTGGTCTCTCTTTCTGTTGCTCTCTTAGTCTATGACCATTTCACTTTGATGAACCTGTCTCCTTTAACAATGTATATTCCCCTTATATTATATATAATATGTGTGTTTGTTGACATGTCTGCTATATTGTGCTATGTATGTATGGATCGATATTCCATTATAATTAGCCAATCGTGTTAAGACTGTCTATTGATTGTTCACACACTTGTTTGGACATTCTTATATTTTTGCTCTCACACTCTTGTGTGATATTGATTCTCCTTGTGTTTGGAAAATAGAAGTATCATCGCAAACCTAGTGGTCTTCTGATTTCCGTCTTTCTTGAGTCAGGACTATTAAATTCTCGACCAGTACATAACAATAATTTGGCGACGAGTACATAACAAACACACAGCTATCAAACGCCTGAAACGCAATTTAGGCGTTCAGAGAGAAGCAACAGCAGCAGGTGTCAGTCTTTCCTTGGCTCTGGTCAACTGGATATCCTTCCTCTCTCTCGCTTGATTACATAATCTTTAGCTTTAACCTCTCCCCCATCTTCGCTATAATATAATTCTGATTGTCTTCTGGTCCTGATCCCAACACATTATCTTACTCAACAATATCGAGTTGTTAAAATCAACAGAGAATTATATTTAATTCAATTTTAGACTTTCCCATCGATTGATTGGACCGAAATGCTCGGTCTCCGGTAGAAATGTTCGCTTCTTGTGCAGATGCTTCGACGGTGTCTGGGTATGTAATTAGAAGTTAAATTGGGGGATGGTGACTAGTAGTGGAATCCAGGATAAAGTGCATTTCATCCTATTTTGGGACTCGTTGTCTGGGTTCGAGCCTCAGGGGAACATCAATCAACACTCACTGCAGAGTGAAGGTATATTCAGCTCCCAACGGGTCCCAGATAGGACGAAATGAGCATCCTTGGTTCCACTGCTAGTCACTATCCACCAATTAACTTTCAAAAGAATTACAGTTCAAAATATCATGTGTGAGTGATTACTTGCACGAAGATACAATACTGAATAGAATATCAGATGAAATTGAGGAAATTAATGCGACAATTAAGGATAGTTAAAATAATGATAGCTAGGGTAACAAAAGCGTGTCAACAAATCTGCTTTTGAACACATAAGTAAGGCTAAATAAGATGGATTCCGAAGAACTCGTAAGGGAAAATTCACATTATTAGATAACTTTAAAGGCCTTGTCATCCATCAACTACTCTAAGTTCTGTTTCTACTAGATGAGCTGTCAATATATACCCTAATTAACTAAGCAACAGGATGCTCGAAAATCCAACGATCAACATGCTTAGCTGTACACCCAGTGTAACTAGCACCACAGAAGCAGTCAGACTATTAGAAGTTAAGAAAAGAATATTCTTTGATCACCTAAGCTTATCCTTTTCACTATAAATACCTTGACACAATTCCTATTCATTTCTGACCATGTTCATTAATTGTTACAGTATCTAATATATTCGAGGAATACCTTTAAACTCATCAACACAAACACACAAGCTTCAAACAACCGACTAAACAATTCATCATTCACAGTCAGATAGCTGTATGAACAAACCCCACAGAGTTTTGTTTCGCATCTAACCCCTCTCTTTCTAATCCAAATAACCGCTGTCCCCTTTCTTTTTAATTTCATCATATATGTACTAATGAAATTGACTCCAACTAACTTTAGCGATTCAGGGATTGACTTGTTACCAGGGTACAGTCTTATCAACTTAGAATGTGCGGATGATATATATGTATATATGTTCCTCCTAGTTGAAGACGCTGGTAAAATGCAGTCTTCTGAACACCTTGATGAACAGCAATCTTCGAATTTTCGTCATGTGATCTGCTCATGTCAGATGTAACATGATGCTACAGGACTGGAATACACCGACTCCTAACTTAAACACAGAGAATAAGTGGAGTTGTAAAGTGTGTTGACCACTTCACTTATTTGGGAAGCTGTGCGTCGGTGGCACAGCGGTTAAGACGCTCGCCAACCATGCACATGGTCCGGGGTTCGATCCCGGCCACAGACGCACTCCTTTACCTTGCCAAATCAGTAATAAGACTGGTAAAGAGGGAAGGCTGGGCATGAGGCTAGCAACCCCATCCTGTAAAAATAAAGACCACTGCTACAGAAACTTCAAGCCACTAGCTTGAGGCCCTATGTTCCACTGGGAACGTGAAGGAAATAAAAAATATAAAAAATCAACCATAATTATATGATTGCTGACGAAATCTCACCACAGATACACAAGGCTTGTATAGCACTTGTCAACTTACACCGCCTTTGGAGTAAATGATGAGACATCTGGCTAGCTATCGAACAAAGAATGTATGTAGTACACAGTACCACTTCGCTCCGTCCTCCTTTATGTCTATGAGTGAGACATGGCACTCGAAAGTGGGAGATGTGAAAGGGCTAACTAGCTTTGATAATATGTGTCTGTAGTCCATCTCCCGTGTGTGTTAGGTGGTATAATAAGATAAGTAATATTAAGGTTAGGCTTCAGTCGAGTGCCAGGTAGGCGGGAGGGGAAATCAATAGACGAGGCTGTAAAGTTACATCGATTGATATGGTTGGGAAATGTGTTACTCATGCTCAGCCTAGCCATCACCTCCCTAGGTGGGAAATATTAGCTGACTGACATAGGATAGATCAGGCTGGAAAAGAGTTAGCGGTGGTCAAACCAAAACTTGTAATCAGTTTATGAAATCTTTGACAGTTAGTTTGTCTAAGCCACGGAACTAAGTGTGGACTACCTCGTTGGGATCCTCAAGAATCAATGACGGCTGGAGATAATTGGTAATATGGCCCAAAGTCGTTCTTAATGGCTGGCGCATATTTAGTTACTCTCCGTGATCTGCTGTATCCACTAAACCTTATTGTTTCTCCATCTTACTATTCTTTCCCCCACTCACATTTCTGTTTATTATTGTTTCTTCGAATCTATTTCTCTTCTTTCATTTTGTCTTTCTTTGTGGGCTAAATGGAGTGTAGCAAGACGAAATGCTGCAACTCTGTGCTGAAACCAGACACTCAATCAATCCAAATACCATCGACATCTGAGAGAAACGTTAGACGGAAGAAACACCACCTTTCAGTAATAAATGACTGCTTTCTCATCGAGTCTAAAAATTCTGTCAGTTTAGGCCATTTTATATATTTACTATTACTATTACCATTTTATTTCTTTGCATTCCCAGTGGAACATACGGCCTCAAGCTTGAACTTTTGAGTTTCAGTAGCAGTGATATGTCTCTTTACTGGGTGGCGTTGTTGGTGTCACGCCTAACCATCCTTTTTTACCGGTCTGACTACCGGTTAAGCGAGGTTTAGCAATGTGTCAGCCAGGAATTGAAGGCCAAACCACATTGCGGAGTGGTTGGCACATGTTTTACCACTGAACTACAGACGCCTTTATACTGTTATAGAGTTGATAAAAAAAAATTAAACAAGTGGGCATTTACATTTACGGAAAGATGCAGAACTTACTCGATTTTGTGGTAGCCCAATACCAGTTTAACTCGATCAACATAAGGGCAAAACCTATATCCAATGAGAGTTAAACGGTCAGAGCGAAATTCTGGCTTTGGATCTCCTGTTGAAAACGGATAAATGTACGTTATGTGAAATCATGTTTTATGAAGCAAACAAAGTAATCTTACAAGAACTAGTGGTAGTCAAACCAGAACGTGGCTTCATTAGTCAATGAAATCTCTAACAGTTAGTTTGAGCCACACATTCACGTAGGGAGGTGTAGACTGGCTTCCTGACTGATTAGTTGGGGTCCTCGGAATCGTGAGAATTAATGAAGGCTAGAGATAATTGGTGATATGACTCAAAATTGTTCCACTCTTTGTGATTTATCACATTCAATAAAACTGTTGTTTTTCCACATTAATATTCTTGTTGTTTCACACTTGTGTATTTTATTTCCAATGAATGAAGTTCAGAATAGCATATCGCTTACGTCTGTAGAAGAGAAAGATAATTGTTTATCTTTCCTAGATATATCGCTTAGTTGACGGCTTAATAGATTAATAAAACGATCTATTTATTGAAAACCTACATGGACAGGACAGTATCTTAATTATCACAGTTTCTGCCCTGTTCAGTACAAAAGAGCCTTAGTGAGCGAGGTGCATCTCCGGTAGAATCCAACGAATATGCACTGAAGACACACTTGATGAGGAAGAAAGAAAGTTGACACAAACTCTGGTCGATAACAATTATCCAGACAAGTTCATCAGGAGGTATAAAGTGGTCACAACACCAAGACCCACTCTCCAATTTGCCCTTAAGAAAGATGTGTACATCAAGCTATCCTATATGGGTGATCACAGCAGCTTGACAACTAGACAAAGATTGAACACTGTATTAAAAAGACTTTTTATGCAGCTGATATCATAATAATTGAGAATATGAAGCTGATATATCCATCTAAACCCTTAAAACATGCAAAAAATGACATCACTGTATTTACTAATTTGAATGTACGTGTGGCCACACAAATACGGGGAGGACTCATCGATCTCTGCAAGTAAGACCCGGCTTCAGAGCATATTCCTAAATGGCTTCAAAAGTGAATAGAATCCCCAGAACCCATTATTGGTGAGAACAGGAGACCTAGGTCCCCTATGGCGAAACATATTGTAGAGAATGGACATAAAATTGATGTTTTAACACATCTTTTAAACTTATTGTTATGTACTGGTCGAGAATTTAATAGTCCTGATGCAAGAAAGACGGAAATCAGAAGACCACTAGGTTTGCGATGATACTTCTATTTTCCAAACACAAGGAGAATCAATATCACACGAGTGTGAGAGCAAATATATATAAGAATGTCCGAACAAGTGTGTGAACAATCAATAGACAGTCTTAACATGATTGGCTAATTATAATGGAGTATCGATCCATATATACATAGCAAAATATATCAGACTGTCAAACAAAACACATATTATATGGATACATGTCACCTATCTATAGAACGCGTTTGGGGGAGGGCATATCCTGAAGTTTGTAGAAGCTCTAGCTGGCAATTAGAAAGTTTAAATCACCTTTATGCGTTCAAAGCAACAATTTGTCATCACACTAAACCTCCCTTGGTAAACTTTATTTTGATACCAGCCAGGGTAGATGTACTACTGCCTGATATTTGGCTTACTGATCTTCATTGTTATTTTGACCTTCAAAACATCCTTTTTAACTTGACCTAAATTTATTTTCTCACTTCTTAACTCTCTATTAACTTCACATATGACAAGTCCGTGTGTGATGGATCAGATTGTTGGAAATGTGTTGCGCAAATACATTACACACACGATTCGGACAGACAAATGTCTTCTTATTGCTTTGTCTATATTATTTCTGTTTTTTGGAATCTCTCTTTACTCTCTTCTATTGCTTTGTGTGCTACACGGAATGGGGCGACTCGAAATGGTGCACATCTGTGCAAAGTTCTATGCTGAAACCAGTCAGTAAGTGTTATACGTCTATACAACTGTATGTGTCAAATTTTTGTGTGTAAAAAATCTCCGCGAGAGCGAATTAAATAATCCCAACACTTCGTTCAACAAACAGGTACGAACCTCTTCAAGGAAATAAAATATATCAAAGGTATGTATTAAAGGATACATCCTGTTTTCTTATTTTTGTTTTAACATATCTGAGTTATGAACTCTGAAAAAAATATGATCAGATAATTCCAAAAAAATTATTAGTATGTTTTCTGAGCAGAATCAACTGTAAACTCTCCTCCTGAAAGACGGTATGTAGTGTAGTGCCTAAGGCATCTTACCAAGAAGCTTTTTTGTTTATCCTGTATATCAATTACCTGAAATCAATGAATCTAAAATGGTTCTCTATACAGATGACTTAAAAATTTTGATGAGTCAAAGGAGGATCATGACAAGTTCCCGATGCAAGAAGGTCCCAATAAAGTTAGCTTGGTCCAAAGAATGGATGCTCCCAGTCAACGTAACGGAGTGCGCAGCCATGTGCATTGGACACGAAAGAGTCAGCTCATACGAATAACACTCCCATCAGTTCAGAGGTATGTGGATCCAAGTGTCCTTGTAAGACATTACACAAAAACTATAACACAGTGTCGCGCTGTGTCAGCTCGAAGGCTTAGATCACTACCGGCAATATGTAGAGCACTTTCTAGAATCACCAGAGATGTGTTTGATTCTTCATATACATATGGTGAGATCAAAAACAGAAAAATGAGTCCAGACAGCCACCCGTCGACTTAAGAAGGACTCCTACATCCTAGCCTTCAAAGCAAGGCAACGCGTATCATTCTTGGTATGACCAATTGATTATAAGATAAATGACCAAACAGTGGGAATCTCTTATCATACCGTAGATGGAGAGCTCTCATTACAATACTTAAAATCTCTAAGAATGACTATGGACCTGATCTATATTTTCTTCTCCTTTCCATCGGATAAGAACATCTCAGGAAACATGGCAGGAGAGTTCAACAACTAAAGGAAAACTATATCGCTGTGGAGTGCTAGTTCTTCCATTGGGCTATATACTCTTAAAAAGCATTCCCAGAAGTGGTGTCAACATCCTGAATTTACCCGTTCAAGAGGGATTTGGATAAACAAAGAAACTTATTAAAAAAGGATCAACACGTGCTCAAAGTTTTATATCCTCAATTAATAAATCGAAAATCTGAAATTCGCTTAATTCTAATGTAAGCTTGACATCAGAATTAAGTGGATTTTGAGACTTACAATAATGCTCGTAAATTCGCAATCGGACAAAAAAGGGAACAGCGTAAAAAATGGCGACAATAGTAGGGAACTCAGTTGACAAACAAGGGGAAATAAAGGGGACTGTCGCTAATCCTCCCTTTTCCAAGGTCATGCATTGTATACCCTTTTGTCTCTCGATCCCCCCTCTTTGCTTCATTTTGCCGCTATTGTCGATAAGTTTTCCCTTTCTCCGCTTATTTCCCCACCTATTTTCTAATAATCCCACAGTTCTTCCCTTTACTTCACCCAACTATCACCCGTCTTTCTCATGGAATTAGCCTGTTGATTGCTGCTTCCTAACTGTCGCGCATGTTATTGTAAACAGAAACGTAGTTACTGAGAATAGAACGATAGCCATCGAAATACGGATTCGTAATATAAAAGCTATATTTAAATTATTTAATTTAAATAGGAAAAAAATCTAAAAACCTCTGTCGAAATTACTAGAAATTCCAATGGTGGGAGAATTCTGGAATTATTCTGAATTGATTATAAAGTCCCCGTAAGACCGAACTTTTCCAGAATTCCAGCACTACTGCACAGCGCCGATTAGCACGTGCCTTTCTCGGAATTCTTTCAGCTATCTCTCTCAATCTTAATTCAGCAATCACTAGATTTTGTCTGCTTAAGATAAAAATGTGATGCATAGATTAAACAGTATGTGCGTGTGAATTTCTAATTATTGGAAACGTGAACTAATTGATACGTATAGTGTGCACTACAAAAACTGGGCGGACTTAGAGCCTTCTAAAGGCTTATCAAGAGAAACAATGTACACTAACGGTTCACGACAACTCATATAAGATGTGTCATACTAGAGTCACGGACACCTACCTTGCTTTAAGTGCATCTTTGTTAGTAGTTTGTAGTTTCTGGATGACCCCAGCACTCGTAATTAAACAGCCGCGAAAACTGTTAATGATCAGTTGAGTTGCAAATCTGTGGTTGATGTCTATCCAATATCCAATATCCTGATTACGAGCTAGTATAAACCAGTGATTTCTTTGAGCTCGCTTCTTGATTGTGAGGTAGAGGTTCCAGATCTTCGGTGAGCTTCTGCGTAGTAAGTCCCGCCACTCGACTGCTTTAGCTCTGGTAGACTCCAGGAGGAGTGGTGCGGGGATTGGTCGAGATGTGGTTTGTAGTATGCAGTATGTTAGGACTGTATTGCTGCCGTGAATGGAGTTTGACCTAACTCCCGTTGGTCATTCGGTGTAGTCATAAAAGCAGAATAGTAGTAATAATAATAAGAATAAAAATAATGGGTTGTAGTGTAGATAATATAGGTTGAGATAAGTGGAATAATAAAGGTGACCTAAGGAAAAGATAGAGTGAGAGAAGGCAGAATAGGTCGTGGGGATTTAGTTTGTACGCTTATCATTGACAGTGTGGTTTCAAGTTTTATGGGGATAAGCCATTGAGACACAAACCTTGCATTTCTGCATGATTGTCTAGCTTCCGCTTAAAAATCTCCAGAGAAGGCGCTGTAGTCACGGCCGCCGGTAAAGCGTTCCAGAGACGGCAAACACGAAGCGAAAAGAAATGTGATCGCACTCGAGTCTTTGGTCTCTGGTGTGCTATCCTTAGCGGGTTACCTCGTGGAAGCCTATAGTCACTTAATGGCAGGATGCTTTTATTTGGGTGGGCCTGGTCATTTAGGATTTGGTAGACGGTGATGAGGTCTCCCCTGTGCCTTCGGTAACTAAGTGTGAAAAGACCTAATTTCTTTAGTCTTTCCTCATATGATTTGTTGCGGAGGCCGATCACCCATTTTGTCGCTCGTCTCTGGACACTTTCTAGAATGTTAGCATCCCTTTTGAGTAGCGGAGGTGCAATGATATTATGCACCTCAAGGTGTGGCCTCACATATGCCTTATATAACCTTAAGAACAGTTCGGGAGTGAGAGCTCCCAGCTGCCTATGCATAAAGTGTAAAGTTGCGTAGGCTTTGGCGACGTCCCTCGAGTAATTTCTACTGGTGTCTAGCTTTTCTGTTAGAATAAGACCTAGGTCTCGCTCTGATTGAACACAACTCAAGTTCTGGCCACCAAGGGTGTAATCTACACTCTGTGACCTGCCCGAATGAAGTTGCACTACTTTGCACTTCTTTAGGTTGAAAGGCATTCCGTTAGCCAGAGCCCAGTTTCCCAGAGTTTGCAGGTCAGCCTGCAATCTGTCTGAGTCTTCCGATGAGTTTATTGCTCTCCAAATCTTTACGTCGTCAGCGTAAAGAAGCGCAGAGCAGTTTAGTTGGGAGGGCAGGTCGTTGATAAAAATCAAAAACATCAACGGCCCTAGGATAGAACCCTGAGGAACCCCTGATGCCGAGGTGTGCCAGGATGATCGGATGCGGTTGACTTTGGTGCAGAATTCTCTCTCGCCTAAGTAATCTGTCAGCCATGCGAGAAGTGCTCCAGAAACACCCGCCTTGCTTATTTTGTGAAGGAGCAGACCATGGTGAACTGTGTCGAATGCTTTCGCAAAGTCGAGAAAGATCACGTGGGCTGGTACCTTTTTGTCCCAGGATAGTGTCCAATCGTTCCAAGCTAGTAGAAGATTCGTCACGCAGGATCTTCCCCTCCTAAAACCGTGCTGTGCTTCGTGAAGAAGGTTAGTCCCATCGAAGTATTTTCTCATATGGTCGTCAATGATACTTTCCAATATCTTCGATATCACTGGAAGTAGAGCAACTGGTCTGTAACTGGTCGCATTCTGCCGGTTACCACCCTTGAAGATAGGGGATAGGATTGCACGTTTCCATTCACATGGAAGTTTCCCTACATCAAGGGAGTGTTGGAACAGATCGCTTAGGGGTTGGCAGAGACTTTCTGAACACTGCTTCAGGACAGATGGTCTGATGTCATCACAACCTGAAGACTTTCCCGAAGCCAACCTTCCCAATTTTGCAAGTACCATAGCCGGGGTAATTTGAAATGTACCCAGGAGGTTTTCGCGTGTTGGTTTTGCGATGTAATCTGGATGTTCTGTGGGGGTAATATCCTCGTTACTGTTTAGTTGCCTGTGAAAGGCTAGGCTGAATGTCTCTGCCATTTCAAGACTAGTAAGAGATTTCCCATCAGAACCCACTAGATTGCATGCTCCCTGGTTGGTCGGTTTTCTTTCGGACATAAACCTGTATAGGCTTTTGGGGTTCACGAGAAGCTTATTGGCGAGGTCTCCCTGAAATGTCCTTCTATCGCTCCGGACTCGTATGTTACATCGATTCCTGAGTTCAAGGTACACTTCATGTTCGGGTTGACTCTTCGATCGTCGCCACGCAAACCAGGCTTTTCGCTTCGCCTGCAGAAGGCGTCGTGTCCCCCTTGTTAGCCATGATCGTTGCTTCCTAGCTTTTGGTGTGACTAAAGGAACAGTGTCTGAGACCGCCTGGTGAATGATCTCCTTTACCACTCTCCAGTGTTCTTCAACTGTTAGCTCTGTCCATTTTTTAGGCCAATTTGCTTCAGACAGAAGTCTTCGCATTTTGGTGTAGTTGGCTTTGTTATAACACAGATAGGGCTGTGTATTGTCCCACTGTAAGCGCTCGCGGAGGACTATGTCGAATACTATGACCGCGTGGTCACTACTACCTATGGGAGTCGTGATCTGAACGTTTTCCACTAGTAGCTGGTCACTAGTGGTCACTAGGTCATTTTAGTATGCGTTTGCATACCATATTTTTATGTTAAGTTTCACTTTAAATAACTGACTTATGTTCCACTTACCACCACTTTTGTTTTCATTGCTGTTTAAGTGAATTATTTCGTTCGTTTGTTATGTTCTGTAAGTCTGACAGTGCATCCATATCAGCCTAATTATTTCAAACATTTCCTCCATCACTATATAGTATTTCTGTCATCTTAGAACTGTTCATGAAATCATGTCAAACCAAACATTAAGGAATTATGAATACGAAACTGTTTTGGAAACAGGTTTTTTTGTTTGCATTTATTTTGTTGGTAATCCCTATTGTTTCAGGTTCAGGTGGCTGCTTGATCGTCTTCCTTGATGTATATGGGGGAAAGTGTCTTCCTAAGTGAGGTTTACAAAACTGCTCAGCATAAAACCCTCTGCAGGCTATTATAGGAAAGGAAGAGTAAATCAGTGAGACATTTAAAGCAGTTACGGGAATTAAGGTCAAACCAGGACAAGCGTCGGTGGTACAGTGGTTAGGACTCTCGCCGACCATGCACATGGTCTAAGGTTCGATCCGCTGCCGACGCACACCTGATATCTATGGTCGGCCTGCAAAATTTGGGCTACCGATATCCATGCTGAAAATTTCATACTGTACCAAAAATACAGTGTGGAATCAAGCTGTACTTTAAAAAAAGCCGTAGACTCTTCTCAGAAGGCAACTATTTCACTAATGGGTTTACTTTTACTTATCAAATGCTCCATATGTAGTGAAATTGTGTAGGCTGAGTAAAGATGAATAGGATTTGCGCTATGAAAAACATATGGTGTGCCCACAAACCTTTGTAAATAAGATACTGCATGGTTTTCATTAAGGTGTTAAGAATTACCCTACACCCTGTTACGCAAAAATTCGCTGGCTGAGTTAAGGATTCGTATTAATAATAATAATAATAATCTAATTCCACAACAATAACAATTTACAGCATGGAATTTTCAGCGTTTCTTTTACATATTGCAATGGTTTAGCTCTGTTTATAATTATATAAATATATAAAATGTTAAAATATTGATAGTTAATAGGAAAAAATAATAAAAATAAATATAAATAAAAAACCCAACAAAATCATACCATTTCTAGGTCATAGTGAATAATAAATAAATAATATAACAAATAACACTTGCATTAATATGCATCATTACATTTTATAGTTTAGTTACTGATTCAAAAGTTGTAAAAGTTCTTTTCTGATATTTGTCTCTTCACACAATACTCGTGCCAAATATGGAACGGTCGAATTTTTATATTTTGTAGTACGAGCATAAATGTTTATAAAATTTCTTCTGGTCTTACCCGAAGAGATACAAGGAAATAATTGTGAATAAAGAGGATGTTCACTATCAGATAAGATAACTTTAGCTAAGTGTTTACAAGAATTCATATGCCTATTGACAACAGTGTCATTTAGTTCAGTCAAAGGGATAGCACTGACCCTACTTACAGCCCTCAATGTTCTTCGTAGTATTATATGATCTTTCTTGAGTAGCCCAGGGAAGAATAATGGAGAACAATAAAGAATGATGGGCAAAACACATGAATTAATAAATTGTATGATAAGAGATTGAGTTATACCTGAGTGTCTCAACTTCTTTATGTAATAAGTCAGACGGAAAACTTTCTTAGAAACTATAAGAATATGAGACGACCAGCAAAGATTTGACGAGAAACTAATGCCAAGATAAGAAACACTTGACTTACTCTCTATCATGGTACCATCAATATTACAACAATCATGAGATTGAATCAATCCATGCATGACTTTTTCACTTCTCAAGCTAAAATCAACAGTGTTACATTTAGTTGGATTTAGTTTAAGGCCATTTGAGCCAGACCAATCCTTAACTTCAGCTAGGAAGCCATTCATATAGGAACAATCCGATGTGGAAACTACAGGGACAGAAACGGTCAGGTCATCAGCATACTTAATGAAGTTAACTTTGGGTGAGTTCGGAAGGTCATGCAGAAAGAAAGAGAAAAGAAATGGAGAAAGTACTGCACCTTGAGGCACACCACTTTCAGTTAGCTGGGAAGTGGAGCGCTTTCCAGCCAAAACAGTATGCTGTTTCCTATCCTTAAAATAAGAAGACAGCCATCTAGTTGCCCAGGACTCTGTTTGTGCTGAAATCATCTTTCCTAATAAAAGTGTCCTAGAA